TTTCATTATTTTTTTTCATTTTCCTCATGTGCGGTGTTTGTTTCAGCGCAGTCATTAAAATGTTTTCCATCTGATTAGATCGATTATTATATTGAGCTTTCTTCTGAAAATCTGATGTTTATTAATTCTGTTTTGCATCAGCTAAAGCGGAACTCATGTGGTGTTCGTTATATCTCAATATATGATATTTACCACGTGTTATTTGTATAGTTATACCTAACTATTTGATATTTACCACGTGTTATTTGTATCGTTATACCTCACTATTTGATATTTCCCACCTGATATTTGTATCGTTATACCTCACTATTTGATATTTACCACGTGTTACTTGTATCGTTATACCTCACTATTTGATATTTCCCACGGGTTACTTGTATCGTTATACCTCACTATTTGATATTTCCTACGGGTTACTTGTATCGTTATACCCCACTATTTGATATTTACCACGTGTTATTTGTATCGTTATGCCTTACTATTTGATATTCCCCACGTGTTATTTGTATCGTTATACCTCACTCTTTGATATTTCCCACGTGTTATTTGTATCGTTATACCTCACTCTTTGATATTTCCCACGTGTTATTTGTATCGTTATACCTCACTATTTGATATTTACACGTGTTATATGTATCGTTATACCTCACTCTTTGATATTTCCCACGTCTTTTTTGTATCGTTATACCTCACTATTTGATATTTACCACGTGTTATTTGTAATTTATACCTCACACTTTGGTATTTCCCACGTGTTATTTGTATCGTGGCAGCCTGCATTTTACACTAGAAACATTGCGGTTTTTATTGATTTATTCGTTTTCTATGGAATATCAACCCTTGGCGGGTTTTTTAAAGCTAGAAAATATTTTTAGATTGTAACCATTTTTTTAGATAAAAATATTTCTTTGATACAAGTCTTTCTAATTAACCTATATCCGAGGACAAAATATCTTTATTCATACATTTCTCAAGTGTGTTTGCGCGTAAGTAAATATACCGAAACCGACTGGAATTCGAACTCTGCTCCCCGATTAAAAGTTTCAAGCCACTATCCACCACGCGCACAACCAAGCTAACATCACCTGATATCCCCAAAACGGTAACCCATTTAGGTACTGATCAGGCTCGACGTTCCTTAACTTCGGTGTCCCTACGGAAACCGGAGTTTCAATGGGATATAGTGTGGTAGCACCTGTTAGGGTCCCAGGTATAGGCAAAATAATTAACCACCAAACTGTTTGTCAAAACTTTATGGAAGTATAAAAACTAGATTTTTATAGTAAAATTACTAGCAATACATTTTTGAAAAAAAATATTACCAACAATATATTTCACTCTCGACAAAGCCCCTCTTTACGTCAATGAAACCTGATCTACAAACTGATTTCTTACAAAGAATACATATTCTATTCTTACGAATCCATCCTGTCGGCATTAAATAACTCCTTGAGGTTGATATACCATAAAACAAACTCAAACGAAACCAATTCAACATGATGTGGCCGTAAATTTTTTTTTTTAAATATTATTTTATTTTTTTTTTTTAGTGGGTCTCATACTGCAATAGTATCATGAAATGTTCTAATGTTTTTTTAATGTTATTTTTTTCTTTATTTTAGGGACTATTTTCTTTCGAGGAGAAGTAATTACGTGATTCCTCTTTTCTTTGAAATTAACCAATTAAACCTCGTCTAAAAAAAAAAAATGAAAATTCTTGTCATCAGCAATCGATTGCCTTGAGAATTCCATTTTTTAAACTGTTACCGACAATAGATATTTATCACCGTAAGTCCTGCTTTTTCAGAGATAAACGTTTTGTAGTTAAACCAAACCTAAATTTTTGTTTATCTTTAAATGCAAACCTTTTTTATGAATATATAATATACAGTTCAATTTTTCTTATTTTTAAACGACAGGTTGCACGCCAATATTTTCAACAATGTTATTTTATTAACCAGCGCTGGAGTTTTCCTCTTCTAAAATTTAATTATTGCTTGAAAGAATATACACTTTCTTTTTTATCATAATAACTAACAATCCTCTAGATAATTACAAAGAAAAACAGAAGAGAAATTCTATTTAAAAGGTAAAAATTAGGTGATTGGGTTGGATTTTACTTTGTAATCGAAGAAAATTCTGGAGAGGAAACATTCGGTTAATCGATAATTGGAAATATATATTTACGTAACATTTACTCTTCGATTATTTATTTATTCATTAATATTTTATCACTTATCAATTATTACCCCCACTAACAAAAAAAAAAGAAATTATTAGCATCTAAAAATGTTTTCTGGCTTTGAATAACCTACAAAGAGTTGATAAGCTATAGAAAACGACTCAATCAATCAACTTTTTTTAATTTAAATTATTCTGATTTGGATGAAAAAAAATAACGGACGTACATATATGTTCAAAATATATACTGTGTGCAATTGGTAAAATGTCGCCATTTTATATCTTTAATTTCGCGCATGCGCGTGTTTTTTGTTTTTGATTTTGTCGACTAAACATTATAGTAGGATCAAATGGGAACGGTCTGTGAGAAAAAGATCGCCATGATGCAATTCATTCCGCAAAATATTTGGAAACAGCATGCTGTATTCCTTGGCATTCGCGCCGGAAATTAAATACGAACATTTCAGAGTGTTTGTCAATCCGAGGGCAGTGCAGAGGACTCGGAAAGAGTTGAATGAGTCTATTGGTGATTACGAAGGTACTTTAGCCGTGGTTGAAACCAATGGAAATTTATTGAAGAAATTTGCCCTTAGTATTTCAAGATATTTTTGTGCAACTTTGGTAAATATATCTGTTAAAAATGATATATATGTTTTACTTTCATTTTGCGTAACTAAGACGACAGTTTATCTCTCGCACTCTCTACACACACACACACACACACACACACACACACACACATATATATATATATATATATATATATATATATATATATATATATATATATATATATATATTTATTTCTTTTGGGGGCATAATTTATTTTCTTGTCACTGGACTTAATTTAGTGTGGCAATGAATATTATTTAAAAATCCCAAATCTTGATAACCAAAAGCCAGGCTGCGAACATGCTGATGCAGCCTTGTATGTATCGGCCTGTAACTACCTATATTTACCTATCTATATCTACCTATGTTTATTCGCGGCCAAAAATCGATCATAAAACGTCTAAAATTGTTGAGCAAAATCTTCTTTAAAAAACAAAGTGTATTTACTCAGACAAAGCTTGTTTTACAATACATATCACATACAGAAATCATTTTAAAACCTTAATCATTCATGAAAGAGAATAAAAATGCCTTCTTAAATTTTAAAAAAGTTTTGCAAGAAAATTTTTGAAGCATCACAATCGCCATTGAAAAATTTCAAAGACTTTTAAAAAAAAATCAAAATTTCCTTACGTCATAACTATAAAAGTGCTCAAATAAATTAACAGCTTACTCGATTCTACAAGAGGCAAGAGCAATAGATAATGACGGCCATTGCGACACTTTTAGTCAAGGAGAAATTTAGTAACAAAAATGTACATTTATTCCCAAAGTGTAATTACTGTAATGTAATAAATTAAACTTACTGTCTTCATCACGATCAAGTCCCATTTAATTAGGATCAAAAAAGGTATGATCAATATTTTCTATCATTTATATTAAATATATAAGGAAAATTAAAAAGAAAGAAATTTTAAGGAAAAAAATACAATCACCTCTTGTAGAACTGATTGTCGATGTTGAGCAACAGGAGTGTTGTGTCTCTTACATTTTCTACACAAACCGGATGTTGACCGCACGAGGACCCAAAGCAGACTGCGTAAATACATTTTCTGCGCATCGATTCCTCACAGCTTTAACCAAAACAAAATGAACAATATATTATGACCAGTGAGAGTCATTGCCGCTCAAAAACCAAAACCTTAATTTCGAGTCGATTGAAGACTATATATACCCAAATTCAACTCTTACGTCTTAGTGACATTATCACCATTCTGGAGGTGAAATGAATTTTTTTAAAAAGCGTTGATGCACCGCCATTTCAGCAGAACATATTTAGAAAAAGTTTACAGTATTTAATATTTCAGTCAGATTATTAACACACTACAAAAGAACTACGGGTGAAAATATTACTGTATATAAAAAGAAATATAGCAAAACAAAACAAGAAATCGCAATAAGGGAAAGTTTCTTACATGATTACAGTAAGAAAACGTTGCAAGAAAAAACTGAACAGAAAATATTTCACAGAAATGTATCCTTTCGGCTATATCTCTTTCTTTTAAAGTTCCCTGTGGGTAACGGACACGTGTATCGATAACAGTTGTCAGTTGGTATCTTGCTAAGGACAGTGTTTTACAGAAATCGTGATCGGAGAGGACCTCAAGAGCCAGATCAAACGACCTTGACAAAGAAGGTCAGCTGAGTGGAGCGCGATCCTGCTTTCTTGATGAATGACTAGTTTTTAGAGGAAAGCTGACTGGGCAAAGCAGGCCTGTTCTCTAGAAGTCAGTGGACCGCTCGACTGTCACCTGAAAAGGAAGACACACACCGGTTGGACAGTTCGTCCACCTCACCTCGTTTACAACCGGCCTTTACTAGAAGGTTGCAACTGAATAAAATTCGCCGACTGCTAAAATTCCGTCTCATGTTTTTTTTCTTGGGTAATGACACGGCAAAATAATAATTTTGCTTGTATTAAGTCACAAGCGTTCGGCTCGAAGAAGCGGCATCCTGCGAACGAACCCGGTGTCTAGTCTGAGCTACAATAGTACACACGAGTATGTTGAAGCATATGTATCTATGACGAATGCATCTGGTATAGAAGAACATCACCGGTACTTTGTTACGATAATTCCTTTTACAATAGTAATAATATATTTTATAGGGGTAGCAGTTATTTCATGTTGTTGGGGTTCCTTTAGAACACAACCAATATGATTTAATTAAGTAATATTGAGTATAGATCTGTATCATTTTATAAGCTTACAGCCAGATCACATTGAAACACCAGTTCGCATACGATCACTGAGGTTAAGCAGTCTCGAGCCTGGTCAGTACCTAGATAGGTAACCGTTTGGGAATATCAGGTGCTGTAAGCTTGGATGTCGGTAAATAGTGTAATGTATAATGGCTCGGAGGAACGAGTTCGAATTGCAGCGTTAGGAAATTACTGTCCAATTATATTTTGTTGTGGTGTCCTCACTCTAAAGAGTCTATGTTGGACTCTTCCGCCTACTATAAAATTAGTAGGAGAGTAGGCCTTGGGGGAACAGTCGAATAGATTGAACGCTGGGTCAACCGACACACACTCACTAGTCTAGTAATACTCTTCTGTTGTACGGACTGTTTAATATATGATATATCTGCAACACTTGTTTTGTTTTACGACATATCAACCTCAATGGGTTATTTAAAACCGATCCTTCGTGGTCGCGGATATGCATTGATTTTGCTGGCCCACTTAAATAGTTTTTGCTACCTTGTCGTAGTTGACAGTTATTCCAGCTGGCCAGATATACTGAAATGTAAGAAGCCGACCGCAGAGCTGACAGTAAATTTTTTGCACGAGCTATTTTCCCGTTTCGGAGTTGTTCACTGTATCGTAACAGACAATGTCACACAATTCACATCCGGTGAATTTAAAGATTTTTGTCGGTCATTCCTGATCGAACAAAGATGTTGTGACCAAGTAAATGGTTAAAGAAATAACAAAACAAGTGTTGCAGATATATCATATATTAAACAGTCCGTACCACAGAAGAGTATTACTCGTCTAGTGAGTGTGTGTCGGTTGACCCAGCGTTCAATCTATTCGACTGTTCCCCCAAGGCCTTCTCTCCTACTAATTTTATAGTAGGCAGAAAAGTCCAACATATACTCTTTAGAGCGAGGACACCACAACATATTTATTACCGGATGTTTTGATGATGTGTTAAGCTTTTTCCTTTTATGTATATCATATTGCTCTGTATAAAATACACGGAGCTCTCTTCATAGATCTACCTTTTCAATATTTTATATTAAGTAAGATCATCTACTTGGATTATGCTTTCCACTTACATATTTGATATTATATATAAGTTTAACAGGTAGACGTAATACACACTGTTTAAAATTTTAATATTTCCTAAACAAAATTGTCTCTGTTTACGTTTGGACACGGAATATAGCAGATGTGTATATTTCGAGAATCGGGAAACATATATGTCCCAAAGCACTCTCCGGGCTTCATTTGATCAGGAGGTCCTACGTGGCCGAGCGATCAAGGCAAGGCAGACCTAATGACGGTTTCCTATAGGTGGATGCAGGTTCGAATCCTGTCATAGTTGCATATATTTCTAACAAGATTTCTCGAATATTCAGGCCAACAAATGTAAATAAACAAACATACTGTTTAATAATTAAAAAAGACCATCTACTCAAATATGAGTATAATTAAAAATAATGTTTAAATAAATAAATCAAAAATAGGTCGGATTTAATTGATTTCTAAAATTATATATATATATATATATATATATATATATATATATGAATAAATATATAATTTTACGAATGCAATAAATAATTATTTTTATTTTTTATATGATTTGGAAAATTTGCATTGAGAATAAAGTGATTTTAATGAACATAAGAATAAGAATATAATTTATCAATAAAATGCTAAAATAGGATATTTATAGCTTTAAGAACAAACGCTTATAGATTGTAATCGTCTGCTGTGAGGTTTTTGGCATTAAAAGGTGAAATGCGTGGGTCGCTGTTTTGCAGTTATTTTCTCTACACTTTTCTATATTTCCGACAAATCTACAGAAAATAGAACGAATCCGATGTGTAAGAGTTCCTTCAATGCACGGTTTTTTCAGTCAACAGAGAAATACAATATTACCAGAAAAAGAAAAAAGTAAATATTTGCAAGGAACAAACATGGCGGTATTGGCGCGAATCGCTTGAATGAATAAAGGCAAACGATATACGAGCCGACAAGAATAAGAAAAGATTATGATTAAAGAAAGAGAAAAGATTATGGGTTAAATTTTGGTGTTTTGTTCTTCGTCGAAATTGGAAATAAAAAAAAAATTACATTATAACAAAGTTATGTCGGAAAAGCCAATAATGTTTTAGTTTTACCAGTCACTTTATTGCAATGCTCATTTAAGTGTATATACTTAGCATGGTGAAACATTATTGGTTGAACAAGGAACTTTTCAGCACACTGTTCAGTATGAATTCAAAAATACCTAAGTATTGTATAAATATTCATATATATTCATATTATGCATAAACGTACATATCCAGGCGTACACAAAGTATCCAGTGGAGGACGAGTTCTTCTAGTGAATGTGAAAATTGTAATGTATGAATGGGTCGTAAATCGGATTAGCTAGATATAAGATAGTTACTGAAGACCAGCCTCAACCTCTCCCCTTTTTCGACCTTGTGCCATAATTGTATTTCTTAATACAATAAATATAGTCTGTCTATAAGTATATACAAATACAGACGAAAAAGAATAATGATCGAATTTTCCAAATAACGAATAATCCTTCTCAAACAAGAAATGATCGCGCATACGAGTGTGCCAATGTATCGCCCCCGTATTCCGGGGTGAAACGGATGGTGTTTCTGACGCTGCTAGCCACGCCCCGAATGAGGATATGGACGACGCGACAGGAGGAAGTCTTGCGGGGTATCCGTCTTTCTCATCAGGATCTGATCCGATTCTTTGAGCATCAGCTCAAGATGGAGATTAGAACTGATAGAAAACGCTTGCATTCGACAGTCTTCAGCGAAAGATGGGTGACTGAGGCGAGCTTGGTTCATTTGAACGGGACTAGCCTTGATTTTCTCTTTTTAGGTCAAGCCTACGTCGCACCGGGGTGGTTTCCCGAGGAGCCCTTCCCTTGGTTAGGTTAGAGAAGCTTTTGTGTACCTAGTTAATGTGAGTAAGTGTTGTTCCCGGCCTTCCCCCGGCCACATCTTTAGTTATGATCCAGCCTGAGATTCCCAACCTCCCCAGTTTGTTTTTAACCCCTTTTTATCTCGACTGGGTCAGCTTTATATTTTCGCATGCCCGAATGATTTTTTTTATCATTTTACCACTCCCTTAGCGAGAGAGCTGCTTGATTTTGTCCCATGGGCAGAATACAGTGGCCTCTCTGTTTTGAGGGTTGGACGGGTCCTACTAACATCAGTTATGTTTAATTTGATTTGTGTTAATATTTTTGTTCGTTATTGGGTTCATCTCCTTCCCCTCTCATTTTTTCATCATAGAATTTTATATATGTCTGTTAGTATCATTAAATTTTTATGACACGGGGCGCGTTTTGTAGGTCTCCCTAGAGTGGATGTGGTATTATGGTGCATGAAGGATTGATCGGTGACGGACGAGTTTTTATGGTGAATGGGTAAATTGTAATGTATGAATGGGTCGTGAATCAGATTAGCTAGGTATAGGATAGTTAGTGAAGACCAGTCTTTACCCCTCTCTTTTTCGGTCTTGTGCCACAATTTTGTACTTTTACAAAATAAATAAAATCAAGAAATGCCATCATAAATTTTCCGAAGTTTATTTCGTCAGAAATGTACACGAAATATGGTCCAAGCTTTTCGTCTTGTGAGTCTTGTGACGTAGACAAACAATGTTGTGACGTAATCGAGGTTTGACACTATTTTTTTCAATTTTTTTTGTTTTTATCATATGCATTTTAGAAATTTTTAAATCTAGGGGTGCATTTTGTAGGTCCCCCTGGGAGGATGCGGCATTATTGCTGTATGGAGTATTGATTGGTGACGGACGAGTTTTTTTTTATGGTGAATGTGCAAATTGTAATAAGTGAATGGGTCGTGAATCGGATTAGCTGGGTATAAGATAGTCAGTAAAGACCAGCCTCAACCCATTCCCGCCTTTTTGGCCGTGTGCCATAATTGTATTTATTTACAATAAATATACATATGCATCTTAGGAAGCAGGCTCTTAAGTTATGCTTAGTTTCTTGCATGCGTGTATTTATAGAGATTTTTCAAACGTAGCTTAGATGTGGCACAAGGCAGAAAGTATGGGGCACCCAGTGAAAATCGAAATCACTACTCAGTCGTAATTGTTCTAGCGCGACAAGAATATATGGAAGTGTATGTGAATCAGAAATGCATGGGGACTATGCGTCTAATCTCTCAAGCGGTTTTCAGACTATATTCCAAGTCTAACCATTACACCACCTCGGGGTGTCCATGCGTATATTTATATGTGTATGACAACTCTCCTGTGGAAATGTTATGTAGTGGTTTCACAGTGGAGGTTTGTATTTGTACTAATTAGGTCCTAAAAAATCTTTAAAAAAGACAATCAAAATTTTCCCGTGGAGAGGGTTTCAGAATACCAAAGGAGTAGGAGCAAAGGAAATTATTTTCTCCGTGTACTTGGAAGTAATGGTGTGCGGCAAAAATAAGAGAAAGTATGTGTTGTAAAGGCGGTACAATACCGGCAACTAAATCCGTGTTATGTAGTGGTTTCACAGTGAAGACTTGTATTTGTACTAAGTCGGTCCTAAAAAAGGTTCGACGTACAAAACGTTAGGAACTTGATATAATAGGTAATGATGCAGAGAAATCCAGTTGTGGTGGCTGATACTTTAATATCCGACTAACGGTCGTCCGACATCGACTGACTGACCAAACTCCCTGCTGATCCAGCGACTGCTACTACTCCTACTATTTATAGGTGGGAGAGTCTACTAACAATAGAATAGGTGTGTTCCAGTATAACAGGAACAGAATCCCAAGTGGATCTTTACTCGATCGCTACAATCTTAACGTGTTCAATTGTAGTGTTAACCGTTATCTTACCCTCCTAGCTATGTAAACTACCCCTTAGTATAACCGTCTGCTTTGAGTGTCCCCCGAGCATTGTACAAGGGGAAACTTACTGTACAAAATATGTATACGAATAAAAAAAAGTGATAATTAGAATTATAACACAAATCCATAATATGACACTGGTGTTATTAAAGGGGTTAATGGAAACATGTTAGCTGAAACCGCTACGATATATTCCTGGTTATTCTCTAACCATGGGAATTTTAAAACAGAATTGGGAA